TCGAGCGAAACAAAATCACTTAGCTTTAATCAAAGCTTTAACAAAGAACGAAATCCCAAGGTTAGCATGGAACTAATTTCGACCAAACCCCGGCTGGTTCGAATAGTCCGTCTACCCTTGGAACCGGCCTGGAACCAAGCCCTGAGATATACAATCTCCCAATAGATGATATCTCTCAACAAAGTATATAACAAAATACTCACCCCAACAACACACAGCACAAGAGGTTCAACTTAAATCATGTAATCACCCCAACAGTACACAGCAAAAGGGTGATACTCAACACAAGGCATGTATTCTCACATATTAAATCAAGAACAAAGGATGGGCTTAGGTCGAGTGAGATAAAGTACACCCTCGTCCAAGTACCCATTTAACATATACAAGGTACTTTGACAATTTATCATATAAACCAACCCAATTACTCACTTAAAATAGTTAGCACGCAAATCAATGCACTTTATATGGGTCCACCGACTCCGTCCGGTTCGTCACTGTTTGTGACAGAAGATTATACTCAACTATCAGTTAATCAACCATCACAAATGGAAATAAGGACTAAAATGATCAAAGCGGTGAAAACGGCAAAGAAGTGCATGCGCGCGTGCGCGGAAATGAAAACGGTATAAAAACGGGTTACACGGTTTTGACCATAACTAGAGTTGTGGTTATCGGATCAAGGTGTACTAGGTAGCGTCTCGAAGCTAAGAAAAGGGTTACAGCTTTCATGAAGACAACTCAACCCAGTTTTTAGTGGATCTAGGTCACATTTGTAGATTACAGAACCAAAACTCTGAAGGCTGGTTTATACCTCTAGTGAAAATTTGGGCGGCATGCCCCTTGTGTTTACCTATTTTCCAGCCATTTATGGCCTCATTATTTTCCTCAAATCAGCCCCAATGTCATACATAGGTAATGTTACCACAATAGCCCTTCAACTAGGCTCAAAATAATCCAATTACAACACAAGTCTTAACAAGGCAACCGGAAATCAAGTTTAAAGGCAAATAGCTAAATGGCAGATTTGACGTCTTTTGACGTTTTGGTCACAACTAAAGCTACGCCTATCAGTTTGGGGTAAACGTTATACCGTTTCGAAGCTAAGACATAGAACTACAAGTCTCATGAAGACATCAACAACTAGTTCGTGCATTTTCAAGGTCAAATCGTGCAATCTCAAAGAAGACAGAAAACTGTCCACAAAACAGGGCATTTGACAGTCAGGGGTATTTCTATCATTTCACATGGTACAGTGCTCCTATTGAGCTGAAATTTTACAGAAAACTATATAACACCATTTTCTACAACTTTCATGTTTTGAGCTAAGCCTAATTCGGCCTCCATCATGGCCGAATGGAACCGGTCAGAACAGGGCAATCTAAAAACTCAAACCTGGAATTTAGTGAATTCAAAGTGTAAACTTCACATTTCTAGCTTGAACCACTACTACAACTTCCTATACAAGATTATATACCCCATATACCATCTAAACAACAATAAATATAAGTGAACAATTCAAAACCCTAACTCACAAATCCACAACCACAATCATCAAAATCACTTAAGTAGGTATCACAAGCCAAGAATACAAGTTGCTACATAACTTAAGCAAGATTAAGGGAAAGAAATAGGATGAGCAGCCATACTACCTCAATAAAATGCTTGCAAGAGATATCCTTCACCTCTCCTTGAAAAATTTTAGCTCCCCAAGCTTCCTAAGCCCCAATTTAGAAGTTAATCGGTTTAGATTTCTTGATTTCTCACTCAAACAAGCTAAGCTCAAGATGGAAATAGAGTTTTCTTTCTCTTGTTTTCTCCCTCAAAGCTCACGGCTGAAATGAATAGCCATTTAAGTGATTTTTGGTGATAAATATAGAAGAAATTGGTTGGTCAACAACCTTAGGATGATCGCCACTTGTCGCCATAAGATGAACTTTCAAATTTTTTCTTTTTCCCTTGTTTTTCTAGTCAATAATTTCGGCCATCAAGAGCTGAGTAAGGAGCTGATATTTTGCACTAATATCAATGATATTTTATGGTAGGAAAGTGGTGGCCAAGTGGTGTGTTCAATCAGTAGTGAACGATACCCGTTGGCTCAGCCGATTTTTCTTAAATCGCGTATACTAGGGTTTTAACTTATAATTCACTAACTTATTATTATCACTTCTCATCACACACGTAATATCATCTAAAACTCACTCTTAATCACTAAATTTAATCCACACTCCGTACCGAATAATCATACTATGAAAAGGCGTAAAAATCTTAGTTTACCCTAACGATGAATGAAAAGGGAAAACTCTTAATTCTATTCTTTATTCCAACCATTGGGGATGTAAATGTGTAGTATAGCTATTATAAGGTAATGGATTCCAAATAAAAGGGAATTTTAAGAAAAATATGAGGGATTTTACAACTCCATCGATTAAAATTAGGGTTTCGATTAAAATATGAAAGATTTAAGAAAACCTATTAGTCACAAGTAAAACTAGGGTTTTGAGTACAAGTTTCTAGTCTTTAAAACAAAACAATGTCTTAAAATAAAAATAAAATAAAGAAACCATAATATCCTCTTTGAGACGAAACAAAACATTCTCCTAAAAGTCGGGGTATCACAAAAACCGTGAGAATGAAGCTCTTTTCCTAGTCCAAGATGATCTCTAAGTGGTTTTGAGTTTGTGGTAGAAATTTGAAGTGATTTGGTGCAAGATTGTGAAGTGAAATGATGAAGCTTTTTGGTCTTCTTCTTCCTTGGGAGGTTCGGCAGCTAGAAGAGAAAGCAAAGAAACGTTGCTGATGGGTGAGGCTTCCTTGGGAAGCCTAAGAGTTTGTGGCCAAAATTACTCCAAAAGTCAACCCTCCAATAGTGCGCGCACGCGCCCGTTTCGTGCCCGTTTTCTCTCGGGTTTGTTTCACTTATGCACTAAACCTCTAATGCACTTCCATTAACACTATTATTATACACTCTTAATAGTCTAAGAATAAAAGTCCAAAGTCCCTCAATTAGTCACACGCGCGAAAACGCGAACTTCCGACTTGTGCGCGAGAAAGTGCAGTTTCTAAGAAATTCTCGTAACGATAGTATAACTAACTAATACTTGGGTGATAAATCATAAAAATAACCTTTTTAGAGATATAAACATGAGTCCTCACATGAGTCTAGTATTAATTCCTCAAATCTCCAATAAATTTGTATCAGCGCGTCTTTCGGAAAACTATCGACGCGCGAGCGGTATACGCTTAATTAGAACTCATTCACCTCTAATTCCTCAATTAAATTTTCTTAATCTACTATTGGTCATTCTTAATTCTCCAAGATAATTGCACTCTCGGATAGAATATCGCCTCGAGACACGTGTACTCATTGTTCCTAACTAAACAAGTTTTCAAAAAGTAAATTTTTCAACAAAACGCTTTAAAAACATAAAGAGGCGTTGTTCCCTATAAATGGATTTAAAATGGTCGAAATAAATAATTCAGAGAAAATGAGTGAATAAATATTTAAATAAACCAATAATATTCGATAAAAATAAGAAAATTTTCGGGTCCTCACACAATTTAGGAATTGTGAATTTCAAGCAATCTCATTGAATTGTTTAGGCCACAAATTTAGTGCTTGCAATGATTTCGGAAAGCTAAATGCACACTTATAAATTTCATGCAAGAAATGGTAGAATTAACAATTTTAGTTTAGCTTTTTTCTATGGTCAATCATGAAGTCTCCCAAGCAAAAGAGGATAATGCATATAAATATTTACAAAACTACAAAATAGGAAGAGTCTAAATGAATTGAATAAGAATGTTGTCCAACTAGAATACAATTGAGAAAAGAAAATGATAAATTTTTAAGGAACATGCCTCTATTTTTCTTCCTTTTTTTGGACAAAACAATGTGAAAGTCAACTTTTTTTTGTGTAAATTAGCTATTAAATCCATATTCCAATAATTCTAAGATATGAATATGAAATCTCATAGATGTACTGAAATTGGGGTTCGTATAACAAATGAACTTGTTGCGGGATTGTCTCAAGAATCAATAAATAACACTTCTAATTTTCAAGACTTTATCAAACGAATGGAGTTGTTAAATGTAGAAAAACATTTTTACTTTATTGAAACACTCCTTATAAATGTCAGGAAGGGAAACAAAGGAAAAAAGAAAAATATATAGAGCTAGTAAGCAAAACTGCAAACTTGGTATACATGTCTTATGGAAGAGCCCTATTATATTAAGAGTTAGCCTAACATGAAGAATGCAATCCTCTAGCGTAGTTTCCATATAATACCTGATGAATCTAATTAATTTACTAGTATTTGACTGAAGAACAATTTGATAAGTTGACCAATTGGAAGGATAAAAGATGCTTGGTACAATGTGAGAAAGGCAAAGTCCAAAGGGACTGATTGCTTTGGTTGGTGCGTGAAAAGATATTAAGGGTCAATTTCATAAAAGAGGGCTATACTTAAAATGATTTGATGTCTTGATTGGTCTCTTTAGTAAAGTAAGGATCAAAACCCTAATAGAAGGCACGGTTTAGGAAAATTGGCTCAAATAGACTAGATGTTGTTATCGATTTAATCGAGGATTGACTAGGTTACTTACCTTTTAAAAACCTTGCAATTCGTGAAATGCACTAGCCTATAAGTCTTTCTAAAATCAAATTTTGACTTCAATTTATTATTATCTCAACAATAAGAAATAACTTGAAAATATATTGACTTAGTATTTTTATGTAAGGAATTTTACCAACTTTGATAAAATGGCTAAAAAGCAATTACTGGAGGCTCTTATTCTAGTGTGCCAAAGCCAATCCATAATATTAAATGCCATCATCATGGAATTGCCTATCTAGGAAGGTGGTTTTCTAAGAAAGTACCATATCAAGATTGTTTCACATACACATGGTTAAGTTTGAGTAGGTGTTTTTTGCTTTTTTTTCGTCCGCTCTATCCTTAGGTTTTTTGCTAGGGTTGCCGCCAGCCCTAGTCTAGCTCCATCCATGGCTGCCCTTCATCCCATGGGTGAGGGGCACCCCACGCCATCCAAGCGTTCCTTTGCCGATATCCTTGCCTCCTCCTCAAACCCGTTGCCATCCTCACAATTCTTGAAACCGAGAGAAGTGTATCGTGGAGAACCTGCGGTAACTTTCACCATTGATGAAATTCAATCGTTGGCTTCCCCTTTCCGTTTTGCCCTGGTAGGTAAGTTCTCCAAGGGACGGCCTTCCATGGAGGCTCTACGGAAGGAATTTTTAACCATTGGCTACAAAGGGACGTTCACTCTTGGCCTGCTGGATCCACGCCACGTTCTCATCAGGTTTGAACATGAAGAAGACTACCATAGATGTTGGCTTCGTCGTTTTTGGTCCTTTCAGGGTTTTGGAATGCGAGTACTGAAGTGGACTCCCTCCTTCTCGGTAGACTCAGAACCTTCCATCGTCCCCATTTGGATTCGGCTACCCAATCTTCCTGTCCATTTTTTCGCCAAGGGCCCTCTTTTCTCCATTAGCAGACTTGTGGGAGAGCCTCTTCGGCTTGATGCTTCCACAGCCGCCATTACAAGGCCTAACGTAGCAAGACTTTGTGTCGAAATAGATCTTCTTAAGGATCTCCCGAATCGCGTCTGGATTGTTAACGGATCTTTTGGATTCTGGCAGAAAATTGAATACGAAAACGTGCCTGACTATTGCCGCTGCTGTCATAAACTTGGCCATACTGCAGACGTATGCAAGATCAGCAACCCGGCGCCGACTGCTGCTAGTCAGGGGTCGGATCATCACGCGCAAGTCTGGTTACCCAAGAACCCTGAGACGAGCCACCCTGATATGCAGCAGCCAATGGCAACCAATGAGCCTCGCCAGAAACCAGAAATTTCCCTGATAAAGAACCCTAATCTGCTTGGCTGTGACAAAATGCACAAACAACGGGTAGTGCAAAATCAGGACACGACTAATCCCGCCCCTTCAGAGGGGACCCCGAGCCAGGTTGTATCTCATGGTCATTCTGCCACAAGGGAACCGAAACCCCCTGAACCGGCCACTCAGCTACAAGTGGTCATCCCTGAAGCCAACAACCTGGCGTCGAGGCTGCTGGATAATTGTGAGCTTGTAACAGAACGAGATTTAATCCAGTGGCCGACTTCGCTCTCGGATTCTGAGGACCAACAGCGGGATTCTATGCCCTGAGCTCAACTCTGTGAGAGTTTCCACCAATTCAAAAGGCGTATGGATGCTAAAGTCCCTTCTCTGGGAGGCTCGGCGTTGCCGCAGGGGAAAAATACAAAGAAAAAGAGGTTCCTTTCGCTTCCCCGCACCATAGTCACTCGTCAGGCCTCTAAGGCCATCATGGATTTCCCCTCTACCCATTAAATGTTTAGCTTCCTCATATGGAACATTCGAGGAGTTGCCGGCCGAGCCTCTTGTCGACGGCTATTTTCTTTAGTACATGCTCACAATATTTCCTTCTTGGTTCTCCTCGAACCAATGATTGATGCTTCACAATTGCAAAGTTTGATTCAAAAATTTAAGTTTAAGCTGGGATTATGTAACCCAACCAATAAGATTTGGATTCTGTGGAGAGAAGGGGTTGCGGTGGATGTTCAGGTTAGCTCCGACCAGCTTTTGCATTTAGCCATTACACATGAGACCTGGACTCGTGTAGTCTTTGGAACCTTTGTCTACGCAAAATGCACCACAGTGGAACGGAGACCCCTATGGCAAGACTTAATTTCAATCTCTCGTCGAGTGGGTGGTGAGCCTTGGCTAGTTGGAGGAGATTTTAATGCTATTGTTTCCTTAGATGAATATCTTGGCCCTGCCCAGCAAGATTTACAAGCAGTTTCGGAGTTTGCAGACACTATTGCGGACTGTGGTCTAAATACCTTGCCTGCCTTTGGGAGCCGCTTCACATGGTCTGGCATCCGGAGGGGTAGGCGGGTCTGGAAGAGACTTGACAGAATTTTGGCAAACACTGATTGGCAGCAAGCGTACCCCTGTGGTTCTGTGCAGCATTTAAGTCGCACTGGCTCTGATCATTCGCCCTTGCTCTTGCGCATGAACAATCATCAGGGTACCCCTCAGCCATCAGCTTTTAAATTTCAACAGATGTGGGTGCGTCACCCGACCTTTCTTGAAGTTGTCCGAGCTAGCTGGGAGCAGGAGGTGCAAGGCTATGGCATGTTTGCCTTCTCCTCCAAACTTAAGCGTCTGAAACAGGTGCTTAAGGAGTGGAACAAAACCACGTTTGGGGACATATTTGCAAATCTAAAGAAGGCTGAAGCAAAGGTCAAGGAATGTGAGATCCAAATGGAGGGAGAGGATTCGGATGTGCTAAGATCTCAGTGGAGCAGTGCGCAAGCTGCACTGCTGCGATGTCTTGCGGATGAGGAAACTTACTGGAAGCAGAAAGCTCGGGTTCGGTGGCTAAAGGAGGGGGATGCTAACACAAAATTCTTCCACGCTTCCCTTCTTAACAAGCGGTCGCGGCTAACCATCCACCAGATTCAGGACAGCCAGGGGCATTTGCTTGAGACAAATGACGACATTGGACAGGGAGCAGCTAGTTTTTTCCAGCAGCTCCTCTCCGGATCAGACGGGGCTAACAATGAAGCATCCGTGACCCGGCTGTTAGCATCGATTCCGTCTATAGTGACACAACAACAGAATGAGGAGCTAACGCGTCCGGTATCTATGGAAGAAGTTAAGAGAGCAGTTTTTGGGTTGGATAGTCACAGCGCGGCTGGCGTCGATGGCTTCTCGGGGTTTTTCTATGTGTCTTGCTGGGACATTATTGCTCGGGACCTATTGCAAGCAGTGCAGGAATTCTTCTGTGGTGTTCCACTTTCTAAGGCCATCGGGAGCACTTTAATTGTGCTCATTCCAAAAACTGATAGACCGAAAACCTTTGCAGAATTTAGACCTATTAGCCTTTGTACCTTCTTGAACAAAATTTTCACGCGGATCTTGACTGAGCGGTTGCAGCCCCTTATGGATGGTCTGATATCTCCAGAACAATCGGCCTTTGTTAAGGGGAGGGAAATTTCGGACAATATTCTTCTGGCGAAGGAAATACTAGAGTCCCTTGACAAGAAAGTACGAGGTCATAACCTGGTCCTCAAATTAGATATCATGAAAGCTTTTGACAGTGTTTCTTGGCATTTTCTCTCCAAATTGCTGCAGAAGTTTGGATTTAGTCATTGGTTCATTACCTTGGTCATGAATAACCTAAAAGGAGCTTGGTTCTCGGTTCTCGTTAATGGTCGAACCTATGGATTCTTCCAAAGTGGGCGGGGGGTTAAACAAGGAGACCCCCTTTCTCCTTATTTATTTCTGCTGGTTGCTGATAGCCTTAGCCGAGGGCTAAATGAGCTGCTCGCCTCGACCAAGATCTCCCCTTTCGCTCTCTCAAGAGGCTGTTTCTCCATCACCCACCTTAGCTTTGCGGATGATGTGTTAGTGTTCATGCGGGGGCTCAGGTCGGATATTAAAGAAATGCTCGATTTTCTCGCCATCTATCAGGAGGGGACAGGCCAACGAGTGAATAAATCCAAGAGCTCTTTCCTTACCTCTTCTAAATGTTCAGCAGCAAGGCTGCGATCCATAACCACTTGGCTTGGCTTTAAGCATTGTAAATTACCCATCAGATACCTGGGATGTATGATCTCGAAAGGACGGCCGGCAAGGAGGCATTTTCAGCACTTGATTGATAAACTGAGGCTGAAGTTAGCTGGATGGAAGACTAAACTTTTATCGCCTGGTGGCCGGGCTATACTCATCAAGCACGTCCTTTCAGCTATCCCAAAGTATGCCATGGCAGTCTTAGAGCTTCCGAAGAGCGTGTTGAGGCAGATAGAACAGCTTATGGCTTCCTTTTTCTGGGGCGAAGCAGCTGGGAAAGAGAAGCGACATTGGCGTCGATGGAGGGATCTGTGCAAGCCAGTTGAGGAGGATGGTCTAGGTTTTCAGTCACTGGAAGAAATTGCAGCGGGTTTTGCTTGCAAACTCTGGTGGAGATTTCGTACATCTTCCACTCTTTGGTCTCGTTTTCTGCTAGCGAAATATGGGAAGAGTGAAGGGCACATCACGCAGATTCAGGAGACCACCAATGGGTCGGCCACCTGGAAGCGTATGTTGCGCTGCCGGGCCTTTGTGGAGGAGAACTCTCAATGGATGATTGCTGGGGGGACCTGTTCTTTCTGGTTCGACAATTGGCTCGGCTCAGGGGCTTTGGCTGTCGGAAAGGTTAACCTTCCCAGTCCTTCCCTCACGATCCGAGAGTGTATCAGCGAAGGGGGTTGGGACTTGGCGCCTATTGAAGGTGCGTTATCCAGCGTGGAGATTCAGCAGATTCGGTCCTTCCCTCCTTTTCTCTCTAATGAAAAGGATTTCCTTATTTGGCAGCCTAACCCGAATGGCGAGTTCTCTATCAAATCTGCTGTGTTGAGAAGGCGCCATCAGGGGGCCTCTTTACTCTCCCGTACACTCATTTGGGATCAACGCCTGCCTCGCAAGATCTCGATATTCATGTGGCGTTTGCTGAACGCGCTTCTTCCCCTCCCGGATATTCTCAGTAAATTTGGCTTTCACCTACCCTCTAAGTGTGTTTTCTGCAATCATGTGGAAACACTGGAGCATGTATTTCTCACTTGTGAAGTCGCAACTGCTGTTTGGCATCGCCTGGGGCTCCTGCTGCACTTTCGAACGGATAGAGCGGACGAGATTCTTATGCAACTTCAGAACTGGTGGATGCACTCATCTGGCAATGGCTTTGTCGCGAATTGCTATCGTTTATTACCGGCACTCATCTGTTGGGCACTGTGGAAATTTCGCAATCTGGCTTACTTTGAGGGGGTTGTTACTCCAGTGCATGTCATATTCAATCACATTGTTAAGGAGCTCCAGCTCATAGCAAGGGCCACTCCTTTCACATGTTCTACTCCTGAAGATAAACGCTGCTGGACTCAAGGCCTTGTACCTTTCCTTAAGCAGCCACCCAGGGCTCGGCTCCGTATAATCCGTTGGATGGTCCCTCCCATGGGCTACGTGAAGTTAAATGTTGATGGTTCTTCTCTTGGGAACCCGGGAGATGCGGGGGGAGGAGGCCTCATCCGGGATAGCGAGGGGAGGCTACTCTATGGTTTTTCCACTTTCTATGGTTGGCAGACCAATATGAGTGCTGAAGCAATGGCTCTCCTCGAAGGGTTACAGCTTTGCAAATCTCATGGCTTCCCCCACGTTGAGATTGAAATTGACTCGCTGACTCTCCTCAAGGTAGTACGACGTGAGATGAAGTGTCCGTGGAGGATTTGGGGGGTGGTTTGCCACATTCGACATCTACTTGAGGACTTCACCTCGGTCTTGCATCATTGCTACAGAGAGCTCAATGCTGTGGCGGACTCGCTTGCCAAATTAGCCAGCACGTCCCGTGCGTCCTCATCCTACTGTGCTACCTCTTTTCCAAGGGACATTCGTGGGCTTCTTCAGTTAGACAGAGTTAGCTATCCTTACATTCGCCGGCAATGGAAGCCTTAGTTTACTATGTAGGACTGTTTTTCATGACAGGGCGTTTTAGCTCCTCTCCATTGTAATTTTCTTACCATTAATAAAGGTTTTGATTAAAAAAAAAAAAAAAAAAAAGTGACCAAAAATAGGGAATGCAATATAATAGGTATGGGGGTGATGCAGATCCAAACTTAGAGCCTACAAGCGTTGACCCAGTGAAGGTGCCTAAGGGTCCGGTGACAAGAGTTAGGGCTAAACGGTTCAAAGAGTCTCTTCAAGTCTTGATGCGAGCAATACAAGATCAAGAGCAAGACTATTCGCCCATTGAGGGGTTCAGCCATGAAGCTGTGCAAGGGTCCGTGATGTTGATCCAAGTCCAAGTCCATGATGTTTAATCATTTGTTTAAAGTGTTCTGTTTTGATAATTTGGGCCTTAAGTAGTTATGTTTAGGAGTATATTAGTCTAATTACAATCAGTTTACCATGTTGGTTATGGACCGAGCTAGTTTAGGCAATTAATTGGTTGTTGGCCCGACTCATGGAAGTTTTTGTATACTTGTTCCATCATTTGTTTCTAGGTAGAACGACTTTTGAGAAATTTCCATCGTTTCTTGAGTGAACAATTCCCTTGCTCACGAAAGCTAACTTGAACATCTTAGAGAGGATTCACTAAGGTGATCACCAAC